CTTGGCAGAACAGCCATGGCAAATCTCACCAAGATAATGAAAGATAAAGACATTTCCATTCATACTAAGAAAAGAATTGTAGAAGCAATGGTTTTCCCTGTAACATTATATGGCTGTGAAAGCTGGACTCTAAGGAAAAAGGAAAGAAAAATGATAGATGCATTCGAATTATGGGTATGGAGAAGATTACTTAGAGTTCCATGGACAGAAAAGAAAACAAATATCTCAATTTTAGAAAAAATTAAGCCAAGCTTCTCCTTAGAGTCAAGAATCTTAAAACAAAAATTGACCTACTTTGGACATGTGATGCGTAAAGAAGTTTCCCTAGAGAAGACTATTATGCTGGGAAAAGTGGAAGGTAGAAGGAAGGGGGGAAGGCAACGGATAAGGTGGATGGAAGAAATCGAGAAAGTCACAGAAATGAAGCTGGAGGAGCTACGAGAGACAACAAGGGAAAGATCAAGATGGAGAAGACTTGTCCATGAAGTCACCAGGAGTAGACAACAACTTGATGGAACTTAACAACAACAAACTAGACCTATCAGAAGTTACCTGATATACCAGACATATACCATGCTGGATATACCAGAGTTGTGGACGCACTGTTTAGACTTCTAACGTTCTAAATCACATAGTTTCCGATAAAACATCATGTAGCAATAGTAGCACCACTATGTGTTTTTGTTTATCAATTAATTCATTTTTATTTATGTACTTAATTTTAATCCATTTATTCTTAATGTTTTGTTTTACATTTTATGGTATTTTGTATTGATGTATAATTTTTATAAACTGTACATGTATAATTTAAATTTCCATGTGGATGCAAGACAAACAATTTTGATAAAACATTAAATTCAATAAGAATTTGAACATCAACCAAATGTTTTGTTCTATGGAATCTCTAACAACAATTCTGCCTGAAAAGAACATTTTTAAATGGTCAAGAGTGCTTGAAAAATAAATCATTTTTTGTAATGCCGACAGACAGTGATATACATAGTGTTAATTTTAAAAGAATCAATTTAAATGTAAATAATTGTTAGAATAGGATAAATTAAATAAAATAAATATGAATAATATGATATCTTTTTATCATTTACAATAATTTCTGAAATTTTAAAATTGGTTTTATCTAAAATTTAGACTAGTTTTACTCCTTATCTAAAATTTATTTTCATTTTCATTGATTTCAACAAAATTAAATCAAACATTAGTAGTAATATAAATTAATTATATATTTATGGACATAATAATATAGAAATTAAAATCACAAACAAATTTTTCTGAATTATCTACTTCAAACATTTTTCAATATTTGAAAAATGTTTGAAGTACATTTTTCAATATTTCAACATTTTTTCAACATTTTTCAATATTCAGTATTTCAATATTTGAAATTCTAAAATATAACTATTGAATTGCTTTAAACTTAATTGATTCATTATTGGGGTTTATGAAATTCATGTTAAATTAACTTTTTAAAAATATTTCTTAATTATTCCTTCCATTAACACATTCTGTATTTAAGAAATTAAATTACTAGTTTTCCTAATTGTGTATTTTTTTTAATCTGAAAAAAAACAGCTATGCATAAATACCTGATTTGAAGATTGAACTGGAAAACAATTTTGATTTATAGTTACAGCAGTTTGTCCACCTTGTGACTGTGTAATATGCTGTCCTCTAGGTAATATTCCAGATATCATACCTCCTACTGGTTGACGATCAACAAAGAGACAACCAAGTTGACTGATGTATTGTGTAAGATAATTTGATTCATATGAAAAATGAATATCTACAACATGTTGTGGATTAGGAACTTCACACCGCCGACGCAAAACATGTCTTAGCTTGAAAATAAATAATGATAATTTTTTATTATTTTATTATTCTTAATAATAACATATATTAATCTTAAAGTAAAATTAATTTTAAAACAATTAAGGTAATTAAAGTTTTAACTTCTTAGTAAATATGTATTCTAAAACAATATTCTAAGAATTTTTCTTTAAGCTGAATTGGAATAATGATTTGACTGAAATACTAAACAGCACATTTTAAAATTCATCAAATATATTTAATTCTTTTTAACCAAATGATCTACCAAATTTTTATCACACTATTTTAAGTCTAAATAATAATTCAAAATGAAGTAATTTGGCTAGAGGTAGACTGTTATGTCACTGTCTCACGATAAAATTTAAAAATAATAAATAAATTTTAATTTAATTTAGATGGCAGTCTAACCACTTATCTCTAGCCAAATTTCCTTGTTTAAGATTATCATTAGACTTAAAATAACCTGATAAAAATTTGACAGATCATTATTGGTTATTCTAATAAATTGGGTCACAAATTTTATCATACATATACCATGCTGGAATTAAAGTATAAGACAGCTAAGAGCCTTGGAAGGTTGTGGGCACTGAGTCATAGTGGAACCATAAATAGACTAGTGAATTCTCATCAAAAAAAGTTAGCAACACTGGTTGCAAGTTATGCTATATACACCTCAATCTGATCTTCAGGTTTCTTAATTAATCAGATATAACCATACTAGTCAATAGACTAGTATGGTTATATCTGATTATATCTTTGCTAGTGTACCTAGTCATTTTCTTCGCAGGATCATTGCTTTTAATGACAATTTTGATGTACCTGTGATCGCTCACATTGTCTTCCTCCATAGTGGTGCACAGATGCACAAGGGGGTGTGCCCCTTATGCATCTGTCAACCCAACTTTTTTCCCTTGCACAGAAAAAAGTGGAGAGAGGGCTGGAGTTAAGTGAAACTAGGTGGTTCCTAGATGCAAATTTGCTAACCCGGTACCCTCTGCTGTCTTCCACCGGGCTGTGCCAGATGGATGACTTGTCATTAATGTCCCTCCCAACCAGCCAAGGAAATAATCCAATTTTGTTGTTAATTCCCTGCAAATCCTGAATAAGCTGGTTGATGGATTTGAATGGAGAATAGTAGACAGAAGTAAAATAAATAATCATGTCATGGTGTATTATATAGGGAGTGGTGGCATAAGCAGTTGACAGTTCTGGGCAGTAGACAATGTTTATGTTTTTGTTGCAAGTGAGGATGTCTGTCTTGACCAAGACGGGCATCCTCACTTGCAACAAAAACATAAACACTGTCTACTGCCCGTCTAATTGCTGATGTTGTTAGGAGGATGTTCTATCCTCCAAAACAAACAATAGATTTTTTCACGAGGTATAGTTCTTGTAAAAGGATAATGTCCATGTTATGCTCTTCTGCCATCTTTATCACCAGCGAGGAAGCAGCCTTAGATCTTTGGACATTGATTTGAAGGATATTTAGTTTGAATTGGTAATTATTAGCAGGATTACTCATGTTGGGAGTCCTGAATGGGGTCTTATTACTCGAATATGATATACAGGGCCTACCAGCCATAATTGGTTTGTTTAACTGATAAGGTCTTCATCTTCTTGGTTATTGCGCATTCCTGGCTAAAGCTGCATGGTCAGTTGGCATCCTTTGCTCTTTTGGTAGGCTTTTGTTAGCTTGCCTGCAATTTATGCAGCAGGGAACCTTGTCTCTTTTGGCACATTCATCGAAACGGTGACTCCTGGCACAATGGCTATATCTTTGTAATTCGACACAATCTTTCGCCATATAAGCAAATTCATAACATTTGTAACAATGAAGCAGTGGTATGTAATCATTGACTTTGATGCTCCCCAAGAGATGGAAATGTGCTTTGCTGTAATTAGTGTATCTCGAATTGTTGGAGATTTCATGAGGATAATGTGGTGGCATTCCTCCTGCACCCTTCCCCTTGACAGGGAGAAGCTCACCAGCCAGTGCCAGGTAAGTCACTGGCTGGCAAAAAAGTCCCATGTTAAGTTATTCCAAAGCAATCTGTTTTGTTTATAAATCATTTCCATGACTTTGTCATCTAGTATGGAGTTAGAGGTATTTGAGGATTACCCGAGGTTTTCTTTTTTCTGTCAGATGACAGTTTACCTGGGAATGTTCTCAATTGCCATTCTTAATTTCTCCCCTTCTGTAGAGCTTCCCACCCTTAGGCACAGTCCATCCCTTTTAACACAATGTACTGACTTGACTCCCACCTGCAGATCTTGTGGATGAACATTGTCAAGAATATCATTCCTTCATATTGATATCTTCTTCCCCTTGTTTTGGGTAGATAAGCAGGGCATGGTTATCTCCAGTTCCCTCTGTATCCACCTTGTTGTAAAGGGTTCTTGATATGACCCTAGTAGTGCTGCTGAGGCATGTGTTGAGCTTTGTAACCTTGGCATATGGTTGCCTGATAGCACCCCACTCTGCACTTGTTGCCACAGATTTGTTGCATAGTTCCAAGACAATCCCATATAGTTGGTTTATGGCAGCAAATAACAGAGAGACCTGTTCTCTGATCTAAAGCCATTCTTCTGAACTGAAGCCCTTGTTCCTCCCCTTCTTAACCCTGTCAGTGGTGTATCCTGGACACAAGTCCATTATTCTCCCCAGCTGCAAAGCAGCAGACTTGATAATGGAGTCTTCGAAGTTAGTGAGAGGTTGTTGACTAGACTCTCCTGAGTTCTCCATGGGTGCCTCATAAAGTAAATAAACAGTAGACTATAAACCCTCAATAAATTAAATAATTAATAAACAAATAACAGGTTGCTAAATTGTCAAGAATATCGTTTCTTCATATTGATATCCTGCTGCAATAAAAACAACCATTAAAAGCTACTAGCAATAGCAAGAAGGTTCTCCAACTAACAGCCATCTGTTTGCCTCCAGACAGAGGAAATGTGGAGACAAAAACTTGTAGATAGCAGCGAGTGACACTGAACAAAGGAGCTTCCTGGAATGTTCTGAAGGCCCCTGAGGCAAGCAACAAATCCTTGGACTATACAATGCCCTTTGTTTAAAATGAAAAATACAGAAATAAAAACTTCGTAGTCCTGTATAAAATTTTTCAAGTTAAACCAAGTTTGACCGAAGAGAGCAGGGCCTTAATCAGTTGTAATAGCATAATTAATAAATGACGGCAGGAGACACACTTCATGTTAAAATTACAAAAGCGGACCACTTACACTATAAAAATGCAGAAAGTAGGTCTGGAAGTCCACAGGTTTTCGAAGTCTGTATTTCTGCGGAAAGCCAGAATATCCAAAAAGCAGTGATACTAGTGTGAGCAGCCCATCTTCCCAAGTCCAGCGATGTATAATTCACACACAAAAGACCAAAAAAATAAACCAATAACTTCACAAAACCAAGAGCACAACAAAATGTGAGTTCCATTTGTTAGCAAGATATCAATATTTTTCATTTCACTTAAAATTTTCACTTTCAGTCAAAAAAGTTACATTTTGCAAAATTTCTAGGGACACACAGATCATAATGTACTGTATTGTACATCATTTTCATTAAAATTTCTTTTTACATATCAAATTTTATTGAAATTTGATATGAAAATCGAAAAAAATTAACAGATGATAATGATACTTATTTTGTCTGGATGATGTGTACATCTTTAGCTTTTTAATAAAATGTGAATTCAGAGAGACAGAAAATGTTCTAATTCCAGTATACTAAAGTTGCTTTGTTAAGCCATTCATTTGTTCACTTACTAGACAGCTTGCCTCTACCAAGTGTTATGATACAATTCAGAAGGGCTTTTACACCATAGTGATGGCTAGTTTCACAGCTGTTGTTATCAGCTGTGAAACTATCATTCAGGTTTAATTTGATAAGGCATGTATCTTACACTACTCTGATGATTCTGTCCTCCTCAAGTATCTGGAACAGATCAAAATATACAAGGTATTCAAAAGGAGGACAACAGTTAATTATGAGGCAATTCTATTTTGAGGATTCTATGTTGATCATATGGTAAGCATTATATGAGCTCTCATAACTTCATCTTAGTAATAACTTATATATTTTAATTTGTTATATTTTGTAATTGATTTGCTCATCAATTCACTAAGTTTCATGACAGTTTCAATTTTTAAATTTGTAGTTGTGTTCTACTTTTAGAATAAATATTTGATTCTTCTAACTCGAAGATGCCCATTTAAAACCAAAGAAAATGTTTTGTTTAAAATAAATCTATTTTTTGCTGGTTATTGGTGTCTATGTGTTATTACTACTATATTATCAGGTCAGACCATAAGTTCATGCGTATTTTTATCTACAAAAAAAACAACAAAAAATCTTAATTAAATTTTATTTCAATCTATAATGTATTCACCATTATTTTGTACAATTTCTTGCCATCTTGATGATAGCTTTTTAATCCCGTCTTCGTAAAATGATTTCGTATCAAAATATTCAGAAATAGCCTTTTTTACATTGTTCTCATCCTCAAAAGTTTTCCCTTTTAAAAAATTCTGCAAACTGCGAAAAAGATAATAATCACTGGGAGCAATATCTGGAGAATATGGTGGATGAGGTAAAATTTCCCAGTTGAAGCTTTTGAGTTTCTCTACAGTTATTTTTGCAGCATGTGGTCTGGCATTGTCATGTTGCAAGAAAACCTGCTTTCTGTTCACCAATGACGGTCAACTTTTTTTCAATTTTTCATTTAAACGCTCTAATTGATCACAATACATTTGAGCTGTAATTGTTTGATTAGGTTCTAACAGCTCAAAGTGAATAACACTTGACATATCCCACCAAACAGATAAACGAATTTTTTTTGGATGCAATCCACCTTTTGCAGCCGGTTTTGGCTGCTTGTTGCGATCTGTCCATTGTCTTTTTCTCGTCACATTATTATAGAGGATTCATTTTTCGTCTCCAGTAACCAGCCGATCAAGAAAAGGTTCTAAAGTAATGCGGGATAAAAGAGACGTGCAAATGTTTACACGTTGTTGTTGGTTAGCTATTGACAGTTCATGTGGTATCCATTTTCCTAGCTTTGAAACTTTTCTGATTTGTTGTAGCTGTCTATGAACAGTTCCATGGGATGAATTTAAACGTTCTGCAATTTCATCAACTGTTAAAGATAATTCTGCTTCAACTAGTGCAGAGAGAGCATCATCATCAAAGTCAACGGGTCTTCCAGTACGAGCCTTATCCTCCACACTAAAATCATTATTTCTAAATCTTTCAAACCACTTCTACGCAGTCCTTACACTAATTACAGTTTGATTATGAACAGTATTTAATTTTTTGGCTGAATTTGTAGCATTCTCACCACTTAAAAATAAAAAGTATAAAACATGTCTCTTATATTCGTCTGTTACTTCCATTTTAACGAAAATAAACAACTGAAATGTTTCCAATTCTGAACAGTATTATATGAATGAGATCCAATTTAACACTTCAGTGTAAAAAGTATCACATTAGATTGACAATTTTAACAGCAAAACACGATTTTTCTCAAGGTCATAAAATACGCATGAACTTATGGACTGACCTGATATATCAATATTATGGTAGTGATTCTGCAAACACATCATTTTAAGATTACTAGTTAATGACCTTAAACCCTAAGCTACAGCTGTATTGTAAAAAAAAAAAAAAGCAGCCTTTGAGACTCAGTTATAACAAATACAGAAAAATTAAATATTTGCAAGAAAAATGAGTTTAAAAAGTTACATGGAGCGGCTTCATTGTTGATTTATATCGACGGTCGGCAACTGGTGGTCCGCAGACCATTGATGGTCCACAAGAAAAATTTGGGTGGTCCATGGAGAAATTTGAACATTGATCAACTGAAGGTTATGCAAAGTATTATGAGAGAAATGCAAAAGGCTTAGTTACTTTTTTCACTCATTGGGGTTTTTTATTCAAATCTAAAACCAAAAACGAAGTGACTGTTATCAATAAATAATGAACGATAAACAATATTGTGAGTGCGACTGTCGTCCTTCATGGAAAAGTGCAAAGAATCCATAAACTTGTTTCAAACAAGCAGCATTGAACTTTAGGCTTGCATTAATTTGTTATAATTAAACATGCGAGTTTCATATTAATATAGTAAAATTGAACTTTTATGATCATTATTCTACAGATTTCATATCGTTTAAAAAAATTCATGATAATGGTCCGCAGGATTCAAAATTGTGACTTTAGTGATCTGTGAGGTGAAAAAGGTTGCCGACCGCTGATTTATATGACAGTATTACAACATATATCAAATTTATTGAAATCTAAGAGGGCCAATCCTGAGCCTCCCCTTATTAGTCCACAAGCCTAACCTAATTTATCACATGATATAAAATATTACAATTTGGTTGATTATGACCCATGATAAAAAATAATGCTAATCACTGTTCTAGAACACAGCTTACACTGCTTTCTGTATCATCTAGTCATCACTTATGGAATATGTTATCATACTGGCTATATTAAAAATTATGGAAAATTCTAATACATAACTCAAGTTTAGATTTAATTTTGAAATTGGTCCAATATTTGATAAATAGAAACACTATTATTTTATTATTACTCATAAAACTTGATATGATAGAAATGATCTTTTTTTCATTTAAGCTTCTATTCAATTAATCAACAAAATGTTACCTGATTTGTAATTGCTTTTTTACTGTAGACGAGTGCCATTTCACTGCCATGTTTCATCGCATTTTCAGTAAATTTTAGACAGTGTTCTAATTTAAAAGAAAGACTGACTAGTTCCTCATTCTTCATGGATAACTGTGTTTTCTTCTGTGTACAGACTTCACTAAGTTGATGTAAAAGTTGTTTTGCTCTTCTGTTGATTTCTGTTATAAATCTAATAAAAAAGAAACATATGTGTGTATACATATATAAACATTTTAATTTTATTAAAATAAATCACATAATTTTAAACTAAAATATACAGTAGANCAGTTTTAAGTATTTTTTATGCTTAATTAAAAATTTTTTTTTAAATGGACAAAAAGGGGTTAATTATAGATCGTGTGGTAAGGAAAGTATGCTTTCAAGGAAAGCACATAATTTTGATGAAGTTATGTTTTTTGTTTTATAACATTATTATGTAAAGGTGAGTGTTACTGTCTGTAACACATATGGTGGTAATGTATTCTGTGGTGTGTTGGGAGACAAGGCAGGTGGCAACGTTTTTATTCCTGATGATAATACCAGCCTTGATGCAATAGCCAAGGTCCTGAGCTGGACAGACTTTCCAGTCATTGAACCTGACTATCACGTTCACTATTAACAATATGATAGTCAGGTTCAATGGAAGTGTGAATGAGGAGAGAGCAGGCAGCTTTGCATTTCTGTGCATTAATCTGTATAATTTTATAGCTGCCTGTGTTCATATTGGAAGGGGTGTATTATTCATAGCTGACCCTACTGGCAGCTGGTGATTTCATGTGTTTAGTTATGGGGCACTGTTGAGAGAATGTGTTGTGTGTGGTCTTATGTTTGCTCCCTTCTGGTAGAGTATTATTGGCCTTCGCACAATTAATGCAGCACGGTCCTGATTGTGAACGCGGCAAACCTTGTAGCTGTGGTTGCTCGTGCAGTGACTACAGTGTTGTTTTTTTGTACATTAGCTAGATGGCCATAACCACAGCATTTGTAGCAGTGTGTGAGAGGAATGTAGTCATCTACAGCTATCGTTGCCCATTGCACAATAACATACTGCTGTTGAATTAACATGTTCCTGATACTAGGAGTTACCTGAAGATACCAGACATATCATAGATTTCATTGTGGACGGTGAAAGAATTGAAGTGGCAGAAAGTTACATACTTTTGGGCTCAAAGATAGAAAGGAATGGAAGTTGTGAAGGAGAAATCAGAAGGAGAATTAACCTTGGCAAAACAGCCATGGCAAATCTCACCAAGATAAAGAAAGATAAAGACATTTCCATTCATACTAAGAAAAGAATTTGTAGAAGCAATGGTTTTCCTTGTAACATTATATGGCTGTGAAAGCTGGACTCTAAGGAAAAAGGAAAGAAAAATGATTGATGCATTCAAATTATGGGTATGGAGAAGATTACTTAGAGTTCCATGGACAGAAAAGAAAACAAATATCTCAATTTCAGAAAAAATTAAGCCAAGCTTCTCTTTAGAGTCAAGAATCTTAAAACAAAAATTGACCTACTTTGGACATGTGATGCGTAAAGAAGTTTCCCTAGAGAAGACTATTATGCTGGGAAAAGTGGAAGGTAGAAGGAAGGGGGGAAGGCAACGGATAAGGTGGATGGAAGAAATCGAGAAAGTCACAGAAATGAAGCTGGAGGAGCTACAAGAGACAACAAGGGAAAGATCAAGATGGAGAAGACTTGTCCATGAAGTCACCAGGAGTAGACAACAACTTGATGGAACTTAACAACAACAAACTAGACCTATCAGAAGTTACCTGATATACCAGACATATACCATGCTGGATATACCAGAGTTGTGGACGCACTGTTTAGACTTCTAACGTTCTAAATCACATAGTTTCCGATAAAACATCATGTAGCAATAGTAGCACCACTATGTGTTTTTGTTTATCAATTAATTCATTTTTATTTATGTACTTAATTTTAATCCATTTATTCTTAATGTTTTGTTTTACATTTTATGGTATTTTGTATTGATGTATAATTTTTATAAACTGTACATGTATAATTTAAATTTCCATGTGGATGCAAGACAAACAATTTTGATAAAACATTAAATTCAATAAGAATTTGAACATCAACCAAATGTTTTGTTCTATGGAATCTCTAACAACAATTCTGCCTGAAAAGAACATTTTTAAATGGTCAAGAGTGCTTGAAAAATAAATCATTTTTTGTAATGCCGACAGACAGTGATATACATAGTGTTAATTTTAAAAGAATCAATTTAAATGTAAATAATTGTTAGAATAGGATAAATTAAATAAAATAAATATGAATAATATGATATCTTTTTATCATTTACAATAATTTCTGAAATTTTAAAATTGGTTTTATCTAAAATTTAGACTAGTTTTACTCCTTATCTAAAATTTATTTTCATTTTCATTGATTTCAACAAAATTAAATCAAACATTAGTAGTAATATAAATTAATTATATATTTATGGACATAATAATATAGAAATTAAAATCACAAACAAATTTTTCTGAATTATCTACTTCAAACATTTTTCAATATTTGAAAAATGTTTGAAGTACATTTTTCAATATTTCAACATTTTTTCAACATTTTTCAATATTCAGTATTTCAATATTTGAAATTCTAAAATATAACTATTGAATTGCTTTAAACTTAATTGATTCATTATTGGGGTTTATGAAATTCATGTTAAATTAACTTTTTAAAAATATTTCTTAATTATTCCTTCCATTAACACATTCTGTATTTAAGAAATTAAATTACTAGTTTTCCTAATTGTGTATTTTTTTTAATCTGAAAAAAAACAGCTATGCATAAATACCTGATTTGAAGATTGAACTGGAAAACAATTTTGATTTATAGTTACAGCAGTTTGTCCACCTTGTGACTGTGTAATATGCTGTCCTCTAGGTAATATTCCAGATATCATACCTCCTACTGGTTGACGATCAACAAAGAGACAACCAAGTTGACTGATGTATTGTGTAAGATAATTTGATTCATATGAAAAATGAATATCTACAACATGTTGTGGATTAGGAACTTCACACCGCCGACGCAAAACATGTCTTAGCTTGAAAATAAATAATGATAATTTTTTATTATTTTATTATTCTTAATAATAACATATATTAATCTTAAAGTAAAATTAATTTTAAAACAATTAAGGTAATTAAAGTTTTAACTTCTTAGTAAATATGTATTCTAAAACAATATTCTAAGAATTTTTCTTTAAGCTGAATTGGAATAATGATTTGACTGAAATACTAAACAGCACATTTTAAAATTCATCAAATATATTTAATTCTTTTTAACCAAATGATCTACCAAATTTTTATCACACTATTTTAAGTCTAAATAATAATTCAAAATGAAGTAATTTGGCTAGAGGTAGACTGTTATGTCACTGTCTCACGATAAAATTTAAAAATAATAAATAAATTTTAATTTAATTTAGATGGCAGTCTAACCACTTATCTCTAGCCAAATTTCCTTGTTTAAGATTATCATTAGACTTAAAATAACCTGATAAAAATTTGACAGATCATTATTGGTTATTCTAATAAATTGGGTCACAAATTTTATCATACATATACCATGCTGGAATTAAAGTATAAGACAGCTAAGAGCCTTGGAAGGTTGTGGGCACTGAGTCATAGTGGAACCATAAATAGACTAGTGAATTCTCATCAAAAAAAGTTAGCAACACTGGTTGCAAGTTATGCTATATACACCTCAATCTGATCTTCAGGTTTCTTAATTAATCAGATATAACCATACTAGTCAATAGACTAGTATGGTTATATCTGATTATATCTTTGCTAGTGTACCTAGTCATTTTCTTCGCAGGATCATTGCTTTTAATGACAATTTTGATGTACCTGTGATCGCTCACATTGTCTTCCTCCATAGTGGTGCACAGATGCACAAGGGGGTGTGCCCCTTATGCATCTGTCAACCCAACTTTTTTCCCTTGCACAGAAAAAAGTGGAGAGAGGGCTGGAGTTAAGTGAAACTAGGTGGTTCCTAGATGCAAATTTGCTAACCCGGTACCCTCTGCTGTCTTCCACCGGGCTGTGCCAGATGGATGACTTGTCATTAATGTCCCTCCCAACCAGCCAAGGAAATAATCCAATTTTGTTGTTAATTCCCTGCAAATCCTGAATAAGCTGGTTGATGGATTTGAATGGAGAATAGTAGACAGAAGTAAAATAAATAATCATGTCATGGTGTATTATATAGGGAGTGGTGGCATAAGCAGTTGACAGTTCTGGGCAGTAGACAATGTTTATGTTTTTGTTGCAAGTGAGGATGTCTGTCTTGACCAAGACGGGCATCCTCACTTGCAACAAAAACATAAACACTGTCTACTGCCCGGATAATTGCTNTGTTGCCAGTTCATACAGAGTTTGCGATATCGACACTTGCTTTAGTTTAGTATTCCCTAACAAAATCAGTATAGGGCACTTGTGTATTATTTATATTTCTATTCTTTAAACAACTCAACTTTCAGTCAGATTTTTTCAAGAAATTTTTTGTACAGAACATGTGTTTGATACAAATTTTTTGCTTTACCTTATTTATATTAATAAATTAATTTTTTATACTTGACATAAATCAAAAAATTAAGTTGGTTATTATGCATTTAGCAAAGGAATCATTTGGAATTTTAATGTATTTCTATGTTGTGTAAATTCTCGTTTGTGTGTGATTTCACAAATGTAGCTCTGACTCATGAGTACCACTCATTAAGTCAGTATTTCAATAATCATCATATTCTATGACTGTTAATTGGTTTTAATATTATCAACAACAGTCCATCTTTAATTTATGAGAGAAAAGTGTAAATTAATATAAATTTTGAAAGTCAGAAAAATTGCATGCCTTTGGATACAAAATGACCCAATGGGCAAACATACGCTACTCTCTCTCAAACTTCACCTTCCAGCAGACCCCCCCCCTTAATATAGGATAACTTTTGGCAGACCCCTAGAGAAAAATTAATTATATATTCTAAATGTCTTTGTTTTAAAAATATTAATTTAATTTAAATAATTTTATATTTTTTTAAACTTTAGTACAGTTGTCCCTTGATAATCCAATAGGTATGGGACCAAAGGTGTGTCAGATTACCAAAAGTGTCCGGATTACCGAAAATAATTACATATTTCGCATTGTTTTGCTAGCAG